CCCTGAATTCTTCAGCAAGTTCCCGGTGAATCTTGTTTGTTTTATTCTGATTTGGCTGCTAGATTCGCGTTTCAAGTATGCCGATGAGTGAAGAGCCGATGAGTCATCACTCGCCGCGAGCCGCGTGGCCCCTCCCAACTACGTTAGCACCCAAATGTCAACGAAGACGTCACGAAAGTGAGGTGTATTTATGAGGGGTGGTGGGAAAGCGTAACAGGGAAATTTAAAAACGTTCCCAACGATCTCGAAAAGGTTCGCGCGTACCGTAACCGTCATTCATCTGGCGCGATTCTGTGTGAGGGATGTATGTCGTTTGGCGCGATCTTTTTGCCACCGACGTGTCAAAACACGTCAGACCAGCCGTCTTTCAGGAAGGGCAACTCGTCCGAAGCTTCAGAACAGTGAATTTTTCCTATCAGTATGCGATCGTTAGGAGACCACCTGGTTCAGAAGCATGAACACTGAAGCCAACATGCACGGCTTCAGTTTTCATGAAGGCTGTCAAGAACTAAACCCTATAATTCAATGATCTGGAAGAGATATCCAATTTGGTAGACCTGTCGTGACGCGTCAACGGGAATGTGATCGCGCCAAACGACCGCCTCTCCCGTGTGAGTTGTGTCACGTCTAGTTCAACCGTGTGTGAGTTGTCTTTAGCTGTTAACAGACTATTAAACCAATTACCGGTCGTGCAAGTTTCTCCAAAGGTCAGGTCACTATCACCCCGTAAGCAGTACATCTCACCGTGCAAGCAGTAAACATTGCTGTCAAAGTCGCTACATTTTGATTTGGTTTGATTCAGTTTTTTTTTCTAGCCTTACTCGAACTCACCATATTTCCACGATCCAAACAAATTTCTCAATACGTAACTGACAAATATGGTAGCATTCACAAACACTTTGAAAAGCGTCCACGGTACCATCCGTCGAAACGAGGAACTCATTAGGGAACTGCTAAATCCTATACAGATTCCACATTCAAATTTGAAATAAGTCTTAGCACCACTCAAAGCTCAAAGTGACTGGTTGACCTGACCAAGAAACTTGTCTCGCACCCTCAATTGCCCTGTGGACCTTTTAGGCATTGTTCACAGTCTGCGACCCTGACGAAACGGCGGTTGGGAGAAAAGCAAAAAATAGTCATCGATCGGAGAATCGCCAACCGCTAGTTTCGCCGAACCGCCGCGGTTCGGCGGTTGGGCGAAAAGCAATAAATGTGTATCGATTTCGATGGCGAAAAACGCTGGACCGCAGACTGTGAACAATGCCTAAAAGGTTCACAGGGCAATTGAGGGTGCGAGA